GATTTTGATTATCTCTCTGGATGAAGAATAGAAATAGATTTTCATTAGATCTTTGGAGAAAAGAGAAATTCTTAAGAGAGAACATAACTTTAAAACAGAAACTCACTGATTTTGATAAGAAAAGGAGGTTACTTTTAAAATTTAGACACTGTAAAATTTAGTAGTGGCTTAAGGCAGTGTCAGTAGTTTTCTTTTTTCTGCTTGGTGCTACTTTATAAAACAGAAAAAGGGTAAAGCAAGTAATAGTACTCCAAATAAGAATGGCTTCCACAGCTGAAAAACCAAAAATTTTTTCTACATATAAGTTAGTTGAAAAGATTTTGCATAAAGATTCCCAAGAAGTTACAACAAATAACAACAGCAGCAATTATAACAGCAAACACTTACTGCATACTTACTATGCCAGACACTGCTATAACTTGTACACTTGACTGACTTAATTATTATAGCCCTATGACATAGGAGATATTAAGGTTTCTTAAAGATGAAGAAACTAAGGCACAGAGAGGAAACAGGTTTCTAAAGATCAAACAGGTAGGTAGTGGTAGGGCTTACATTAAACCTTAGGTTGTGTGGCTTAAGAGCCCAGGTTTGTAGCCATTAATACAATACTTTGCTTCAAAGAACTGTTTTCCTATTGTCAACAATGGAAAACTATGTATAATCAGTAATCTGAAAGGGAGATTAAGTTGTCAATACCCAATTGCTTTTCATAGCCTATTTTTACAATATCAACTTTCTTTTCTGGAAACATGGCAGACTAGAGAAGCTAAAAGCTCTCTGCAATAAGACCTCTAGAGATGCTGGATAAAATGTAGTAAATAAACATTATTTTAATTGCATAGCTAAGCTGAAAATAAATATCCAGCATGAAGAAAGGAAAAAAATTGAAACTGGCTATAAACTGTGCTAGGGTGGACATGGGAAGGCTTGTTAAAGAATAGGCAGTCTAGGTTACCCATACACTGGTGAGACAATTAGTAGGATAAGATTTCAGAAAAGATTAGATACAGAACTAAGATTTTCCTATTGAAATCCTGAATACAGGACAGCAGTATTCTTAGTGAAAGGCAAACCACAGGGGATAAAAAATCTTCCCACCAGCCTATGATGAGATTGAAGACATTTTTCTGCCTCCACCTGGGATCTGTATAAAGAAAATTCTCTCCTGAAAATGCCAAAGCTGTTTTGCCTCTATACAATTGTTATACATACATAACATTGAGTTTTACTTTTAGCTTTAATCCTTTTGATATGAACAGTCTATGATTTAAGCTGCAGTTATTGAATATCACCAATTTGAATTGCTCTTTCTCTTTATTTTTTTGCTGATTAGTTAAATTTCTTACTAATTGCTTCCTCATATTAAAA